GAGGTGCAGGCGCTGTCCTTCTTCAGACCCATGTCAGTGAAGCTGGAGCAGGTGGACTCGGGCTCAGAGAAAGGGGCCGACCAGTGGTGGGTGGTGGAGGAATGCTCCCCCGTCGTCGCATACTCCCACCACAAGTGCCACAGCATAGAGATCGTGGTGATCAGCGATAAAGTCAGCCCCTCCAGTCTGGGCTTTCTGGCCGGACACGGGTACGTCACCTGCTTTTCTTTTTTTTTTAAACTTAGTTTTTATTTCAGATTTCATTATACATACATGTTCACATTTTGGTCAACAGTTTTTTTCCATTTTCATTTAGCTGTATCTACATAGCCAACATAAGAAAAAAATAAATAGTAATAAAGTACAAAAAGAGATCAATAAAAATAATAAAATAGACATATGAAAAGATAAATACATACAAAGAATAATAATAAAATAAAACAGCAAAGGGGGGGGGGGGGTCATCCATGTGTGTGTCGTTGTGTGTGTGCTAAGGTGCAGGTCAGAACCATTCAATACACTTTGATCAGGAGGTTAAAACATCACCTGCATTTTGACAGTAAAACGTTACTCATAATTTATGTACTTAATCCATTGTATGTGTATATATTTGAATTATTCCTGCATTTCCTTTGGTTGCTTTATTTATTTTCTTTCTTTTTTATTATGTCTCAAGTATAATTGTGTGTTGTTTTGTTGGGGAAGTCTGGTTCTTTAGATATTCTTTGCCAACAACTACGCTGTAGCTGTTGCATGTGACAAATAAAGCCTTTGAATCATTTCAAATAAAGCAAAAGGTACGGCCGCTCCTATCCCAACAAGATGCCTCCATACATTAATTACAAGTAGATTAGACTACTGTTATGCACCCTTTGTTTTGTTCCCATAACATATATTGATACATTGCCTTAAATTAAAGCTGCCAGGCTTTTAACGGGAACAAGAAATAGGGAGGCGTGTGGCGCAGTGGATAGAGCGTTGGTGTTCGGATCAAGGGAGCACAGGTTCAAACCCCACTGCAGTCAGCATGTCGTTGTGTCCCTGGGCAAGACACTTCACCCCAAATTGCTCCTGTGGGGATTGTCCACGGTATTGAGTATGTAAGTCGCTTTGGATAAAAGCGTCTAACAAGTGACATGTAATGTAATGAGTATGTCAGCACAGTTTACCTGCACTGGCTCCCATTTTGTTATTATTGATTTTAAAGTTAATTTTACTTTAAGCTTCTAAAGGTTCGTGACTAGCCTACATCCTTAGTTCTTTGTCTATTTATAATGCTTCACAGACCCTTAGATCCTCAGCTGCTATCTGTTTTTATGTATTCTCTTTTCTTTCTTATAAGAGTTTGAACTACACCACTACAAAAGAGATGCTGTAAAAATAAAGTGTATTATTATTTTTATAATAAAACTTTTGTTGGTTAGATTGGCTGTTGTGGTTTCACAGTGGCATCTCTCACATAAATGTGTTGAACATGTCCTCTGTCTCTGCCCCCCGACCCCCCTCCCTCACAGCATCGTGGGTCTGTACATGTCGGTGGTGCTGGTCGTCGGAAAGTTTGTCAGGGAGTTCTTCAACGGGATCTCCAGGTCCATCATGTTTGAGGAGCTGCCGTGTGTGGACCGGGTCCTGAAGCTCTGCACGGACATCTTCGTTGTCCGGGAGACGGGAGAGATGGAGCTGGAGGAGACGCTGTTTGAGAAACTCATCTTCCTCTACCGATCGCCGGAGACCATGATCAAGATGACCAGAGAAAAGAAAGACAGCTAGGGTTGGGCTGCGGAGGGTGTCACGCCTGCACTCCCATCACTCAAAATGGATGTATTAGAGCAAATAACCTTTGGTGCAGTAATGTCCTTTATTTGTATTAAAATGAGCAGCAGGTGAAACCTGTGATAAATGATCCAGTTGTAATCAATCTGCTGAATATCTATGAGCGAGATTGTGAGTCCCATTATGACCTTTGCGTAAAAAGAAAGAGCATCTTTTAAAGCGCTTCTATCAAAAAAGATGATCACATGGTTTTCATACCTTTACATGTGATCATACTGACACTTATCATAGTTTCACTCATTTAAATAATTGAAACAATGATCTGTTAACCAACACTACAATTCCTAGCAAAAAGCTTAAGGAGTAATGTTCTATCATACAGAAAATCAACAATGACATGTTTCAGAATACTTTTAAAGTCACTAAACTATAACACCAATTACATTTGGTTACAGTAAAACAATGAAAGCGTGCCAGTGTTTTTGCATTTGTTTTTTACTTCCAGCCCACATGGCAATGCATGCATTTCTGATGATTTTGAATTCAGGTTTTACTAGAACAGTATTCCCCAACTCAGATTCTGGCAGGATCATTAAAAGCTCAACATACCATTGATAAACTCATGGTTAACACACACATACCTCTGTAAATACCATGTTTCTGTATACTACCATGTCAACTACTGCACTGATTTATTTATACCAAAATAAAAATTCTTATAGACAAATGTTCCAGTGTCTCTTTGTGCAGTTCTGGAAATGCAAGAATACAAGGAAACAAAACGTATTTCCGATATTCATCTTTAATAAAATTTAAATTACAAATGAAAAGGAAAGTAGAGGAATTTCATCCAGGTCATCTTGATGTCATCCATCTTTCTTCTCTGCGGTGTGCAGGACAGGACAATAAAGGACCTCACAACTCATGGGGAAACTATCAACATCGGATTCTCAAATCCTGGAGGGAAACAGAGACAGTACAGAAACATTACTGAAAATATGTCCTCATGAAAATTATTTTGCATCCCAGACAGAACAAAGGTATCATTCATATCAGTGACTGAAGGTTTGGAGTTGATCTACTTGCAAAGTAGGGGTGCAAAGACAGGTTGAGAACAATAATGTCTGGCGGACACTTCCATGGGTGTAACACCATTAAATGTAAGGTAGGTTGGGTATCACTTAAGATGTTATTATAAAGGTTTATGCACTATTGATTTTTAAATAATTCGAAAATGTTAAGTACACTGAAACAATGACCTTGTCTTGGTAGAGACTTAAGCATGAGATAAGAGTGTTGTGTTATAGGTTTTATTCAAACAGTCCAATTAATAGTTCATTTGAGGTTGTGATTTTGCATAAATAAACATATGCCTGTTTCCAAAACAATGCATCCAGAAAATATGTTTTAGGTTTAAATACTCATAGCATATAAATACATTATATTCACCTACATTGGGTACAGTAAAATGATGTGCAGTAATATTATTCCAATATCAATACAGACTTATGCAAAGGTCCACATGTATGAATTGTGTTTTACAGTATGAAAATGTCCTGTTGGTTTTCCGAGAGCGCAAGCCAGTAGTTTGTAATACCAATGTTCAATACACTAAACGGCTGGGGACAAATAAACTAGCATAATATCTATTCTGAAATTAATTTAAATCAAACTTATTTCCATATCCCTACATTGATTGTTTCTTGCCTATTTACTGATGTTTAGTTCAATTCAGTCCAGTAAGTTTCTGGTCTTTAATAAGCTTTATGCGTTATGTAGTTCGTGAGACTTTTTCAGAACTATACGCGTGTTATATACCATTTGCTTAGTGTCTCGGACCCCTACGTTTCATATAGCTTTTAAGGGGGTCCCACTCCCATATCTCCATTGTATCAGATTGTATTAATCCGTATACACCTCTCTGAAAGGGGCTATTAAGCAAATAAGAAAGGACACCGTCACTACTGTACTGCATAGGATGTAGTAGCTTCTAATTCTCGTAAATTGGAATGGTGGATTACAATAAGCTAAATGCTATACATACTTCCTCCACACAAGTAACCTGGGTCAACATTCAATGTCACAGGCAGCTGCCTCTCCTTCAAACATTTAGAGGCCATGGTGCATGTATTTGCTGTCATCTCTTGTGTTGTTTACTTATTGTTTAATGCACTTACATGTTGCTACTTTAGCCGTGTAGACTTTGACGCTGGACTCCGCGGCCTTCATCGCCTCGGCTTTGAGCTGCGGCTTCATCGCAGCCCGCAGCGCGGTGGCGCAGATAGACGAGAAGCGGATGTAGCTGCAGAAAGAGGACACACTTGTTAGCCGCATGCTAAAGGACACTGCTGACCTCCAAAAAACACAACTGCTTCTTAAAAAACAAGTAATGTATCCTATGCATTATACGATGCCGTGTCATATTTCGGAGGGTTATCGGCTAACGTAAGCGTCCTAAGTTAAACACATGGGATTTAAAGCTAGCTAAAGCTACTATCGTATGTTAGCTATGTTGCCTGCTCAGTTATATAATAGACATAATAGCTACAGGGACTTTTTAAAGTACCGCGTTATCAAGCCAAAACCTTAAATAGAATAACGTGGTTAACACTCAGCACAAAGCGAAATCTGCAAATGTATATTATATATATTTTTTTACCTGAGGCCTGCCTGTCTCCAGTATGCGACCATCTTGCCTGTGTTATACCTTCAAGGACAGTTAGGATCTGTGCGTGATGACGTAATATATCTACGTTGTTTATCCCCACCCAATTAGAACCGTGCCTGACCACGACTGACAGCTGAGACCTTGGCTTGTCCTGCCCCCAGTAATTTAATATACAAGTTTGTTTTATAATTGTTAATGTTCAATATTATCCTATAGTAAGCTATACAAGTCGCATTTGCACATGACATATATTTAAATATATATACATATGTACATGTATATTTATAAAGAAGAATGTGTTCAAAGAAGTGAAGTCACAAGTGGATCCAACAGTATTGAATATATAGCCTACTGCTGGAATCGAAAAGTAAAAATATAGCACTGTAGCCTAAACATACCATGCATATAAAAAACAGTATAAATATACTTTATATTTAGTAGTCCCCGGTAGCCATGTTTATAATGTATTAGTGCAGATAAAGGTGCAAGCAGCTGGTATGTGAAACAATCATGAGTTGAGAAGGCTGAAGGCCTGATTTGTTATTGTGTTTTTTATCCTGACCCTGAGACTGTTATACAGTAGCTTGTTGTGTAGAGTGCAGCTCTTGTCCCGGCCTGCAGGGGAGGGTCGTCAGGGTCGTCCATTAAAGGTTTCTCCTTCAGCTCCTCCTTCCTTCCTCACCTCGGTCACGCTGTCATTAAGCGACCCGGCTCCCGAGCCTTGACGGAAAAGCCTTGCAAAATGAAGATCTGGGCGTCAGAGCACATTTTCAAGTGAGTAGTTTTGTGTCTGTAGTTGTGTATTATAATCATGTGTCTGTTTAGCAACTGGTTTCCTCTTTTATGATAACATTTTGTGTGGCTTCACCGGGCAGCTGCTAGCCTCTTAGCTGCTAAGGTTGTACATAAGTTAGGTAACTTAAACTCCAAATACCTGCCGTGAAATACCTAACTGTTTGTCGTTTTTTATTAATAAATGTAACCTTCACTCGCCATTTTGTTTCACATTTCCTCAACACATATCTCGGTGGTGTGTGTGCACTAGAGGTAAACCGCTTTAGCAGAGTTAACTAGTTTAGCTTTTGCTGTTAGCCATGAAGGTAACGCTGACTATCAGATGCTGTAACGGTAGTTGTTTAGCCGTGTGCGTCATAATAAATGTTATTAAAATGTTTCAGGCTCAAGTTACTTTGATGGTGAAATAATTCGTGTGGTTTTCTTGAGTTTCGTATTTATCACAAGGAAGTTATCTGCCGCTGAGTATGATATTATGTACCGCTGTCATACAGTTACATAACGGGATAGGCTGTTGTCGACTAGTCAGCCTGCGGTGAAAATACAACATAGTCTATTGTTTATATTCCTGCTCTTCAGACAGATGGCGTTCAGTGTGTAACAATAGTCGAAACGCTTCTGTCCATTACCAGAAGTTTCCAGCGAAATCCATGTTGATGAATAAGATTATGCTGTGCGTTCCTCCCCCTGTCTGCTCAGTCTTTGGTTATTCCTCCATTTTGATTGTGATGTTCACTCTTTGTAAATACATCTCTGCAGTTGTTCATGTTGTTACTGCTTTTTGTACGTATATTTACTAAGTCTTATTCAGGATTATTTTACCGTGGGTTTGCATAAGGCTGAACAAATGGGAGCAGCTTTGCTTTAAAGGTCCCCTATTATACTGTTTTTCATCAATATATTATAGATCTCGCATAAATACAAAACATGTCTCTGAAGTGTTTGGCTTGAAATACCAAACAGATCATGCATTGTAGCATCCCATAATCCCCTCTGTTTCAGCTCTGTTTCAAAAGTGCTGATTCTCTGTCTGTTACTTTAGATGAAAATAAGGAGCCACTCCCCACGCCCCTCTGAGAGATATTTGGTTAAAAAGAACACAAAGTTGCTCTAGGAGGAGATTCAGGTGATAATGTCTGGGGGGGGGGGGGGGTTACCTTGGTTGGTTATTGGCTAGTCGCTAGTGGTAACACAAGCCAAAAAAATCATACGAGTTATGACATCATAAAGTGGCCAAAATCTGATCAGCTCATTTTCAGACAGGTTTTTATATAAATGGATCAGGACAAAAAGAGAGAGAATCTTTTTTCCTGAAACCTTCAGAATCTCTTTACACAGAGGGGACACATGTTTATGTATAAATGACATGAACAAGTGGATTTTGCATGATAGGTCCCCTTTAAGCTTAGACGATCTTCAAAGTTATTTTTTTTGCCCATCATACTAAGTGGTGAAAATGGGCTGAATGACATCATCAATAAATCTGATTTCCAACATGTTGTCGCATACAGTAGCTTTGCAGTTTGTGGTATTGGTAAGTCCATATGTCACCAAATGTATTACAATGCAAGTATTCCCTAGGGACTTTCTGTTTCTAAATGTAATCTTGATTTGAACAGCCACCCATGGGAGACGGTGACCAAGGCGGCGATGCAGAAGTATCCCAACCCCATGAACCCCGGTGTGTTCGGTGTAGATGTCCTGGACAGAAGTGTGGACACAGAGGGACGGTTGCACAGCCACCGACTGCTCAGCACAGAGTGGGGCCTCCCCAGCATGGCCAAGACTGTAAGTTAGATCATGAGAGCACTAGAGCTGCAGTGAAGCTTTATTTTTGATTGATAACATACTTTTTTTTATTACAGTGTTTATATTTGTGACATCCTCAATTTTCCGCATTATGTAAATCCTCTGCCCAGATTTCATTGCTCGAGCTGTCCCCCTCAAGCAATATTTAAAATGCCCACGAAGAGGAAATACATTCATTGTTGAGGAAATAGTTTCCTAAGCCCATAACTTTGACCCAGTTTATCACTTTCTACTCCCCTCGCTGAGCACAGGCCTGCGACCTTGGGAAGCTGCACTCTCTCTCTCTGAGAGTAGTTTTTTCTCCTTATTCCTGCCGGTTGGGGTCAGCTGATAGAGGTGTTATAGTGATTTGTTTGTTATGTCTTGTCATGCAGAATGTAGATTATTCTCAGAGCTAGCTAAATAGATGGGACTAGTGGAGAGAGCTTCAGAATTCCTTAGGCGGGAGCTGTGTCACTTTGTGTCTACAGCAAATTTCTTTGTCAATTCTCTGTCCATAACTTCAAATACATCTTCAGTGTTTGCCATCAAGTTCCAGAGGCCTGTACTACGAAGCCGGTTCAACATAACCTGGATATGTTTGAGTTAGCCGGTTGACCTAATCCAAAACATACGCGCTCTCGCTAAGCGGTCCTACGACGCTGGTTATCAAGTGGATCGCTCAAGCCAGCCGTGTCCTATCTAGTTAGGTGCGCGTTCACATGAAAGGGGTGGTATTTGGAGCATTCGACCAATCTCAAACATGGACAAGCGTACTGACAGCGCAGCGTCATACTTCCTGAATGAAAAGTGAACTTTAATATTAGTCAAATATGAAGAAGTTAAACTTTAAACATCCATGACTTAAACACTTTATCCAGGATAAAAGCCACATAGTTGCACCTGCAAGGTGAATACAGCTGGTAAAAGAAAAAGCGTTTGAATGCGTACATTAACAGGTTTATGAAATCACTGCCCCGTCCAAGACACGAGTGGATCTGACTTTAATTACATTTGACTCGAGTGTTTCGTCAACTTAATGTGTTGCTTAAAATAATTCTTCTGCATACAGTATGTGACACTGTAAGTGTTGCACGGCCAGATACGGCTCAAGAAGCTGACTCGGATAAGGAAATATTATATGATACATTATGATGTGATGTGATATGAATGATAATGGGACACATCGACGTCTGCACTCACAGTGCCGCGGACTGTACTTAATGTTACTCTGATCTGGTTACTTATGTTGTGGCAGATATTTAAGTAAGCTTTCTTAACGCTAATGTTATAATACTCTGAAGATGGGAGGGGATATTCTATTAATTTTCACGTTCACACAGTCAGTTGATTTTTGCCGGCCGTCTTTCCTGCAACGGCAGTTTTTCTGTATTTCCTCTATCCTGTAATATGACTTGATCGCTTTAAACTCCGCACACGGAGCTCTGATTGGTCAGCAGGCGGTGCTTTCACTGAGTTGATCTCTTAGCCTGCAACCTAACCTGCTCCGGAGCAGGTTAGCCGCTCAGCATAAGTTACCATGGAGATCTAGCCCGCTAAAAAGAGAACCAGCGTCGTAGGACCGGAAACCCCGAGGTTTCCCTGAAGTTAGCCCGCTAAGCGGAAATCCTGCTTCGTAGTACAGGCCTCTGCTCTCCCGTGTCTAATTGTGTTTTGACTCCTTGCTCCAGAAGTTTCCATTTTATTCATGATTATTATTGATCTGAGATATTCAGACTGTTGGACACATTTAATTTGAATTATCCTCGCATTCCTGGTGTTAGCAGAAATTGGTGCCTGACTCATCTCGAACAATATAATGTCAGGATTTGAACTAATCCTGAGCTGTGTCCTTTTCCTGCAGATGTTCGGGTTAACAAGGTCATGCACTTATGTTGAGGAACATTCTGTGGTGGACCCCAAAGAAAAGAGCTTTGAGTTGAAATCTACAAATGTAAGTAGATCTCACATGGATCATTGTTATTACTTTATACATAACACTTGTGGCATTTAGTAGGAGAGAAAACGAATACATTGACTTTTCTGTGCAATTGATAACACCAAGTTATACGTGGACTTCAAGTGTTGTTTCTCGTGTTACTTTTTATATCTGGAAAGACAACATTTCTTTGTTTTTGTAAAACCTTTCACTGATTAAACTCTTAAGGCAAGGCAAGGCAAGGCTTAAGCCTTTGCGCCTGATTATCATTAAGCATGTATTAACATACCATCCACAGTTCGTAAGACTTATTACTTCCCATTTGTTGAAGATCGTTTAAGGTCATGTTAGGAGGGACCTTTTAGACATTTGTATATTTAGATATCCATTACTTACAATGATGTTTGGCATACGGTTGACATGTTATGGGTTTCTTACACCTAGACATGATATGCTCTTTTTTTGCAACCTCACCACAAATCCAACATGGTGTTAAATAAAGCTGTGTGATTGTCTTTGTAAAGGTCTAACAGTGGAAACATTACATGTCAAACACAGGTGTAAATACATTACATGTATAATTGCTCCAAACCAGCTATCGTTAGTGTTATCAGTTACACCTGTGTCCTTACCGTGGTCACTGTGAGCGGTCTCTTTACAGCTAGCAGATCAGTGTGCAGGGCTTTATGAAAAATTATGAATATAGTTGTAGATATTTTTTGAGTGCAGGAGACAAAGACTAATGCTTGCTTTATTTTGTCCATTCAGATCTCCTTCACTAACCTTGTATCTGTGGATGAGAAGTTGACATACAAGCCGCATCCAGAGGACCCCGAAAAGTAAGTGACTTTTTAATAGATTATTATTATTATTATTATTATTATTGGTAATGAATAAATGGTTTTGGCCTACGGTCTGAATATTTTTATAAGATGAATTACTAAGAATGATGAATGGCTTTTGTTGTCAAAAATGTCATGTATTTTTTTAAATAATATTAAAAAGGCTTCTTCTGAAAATACAACAGCTTTAACATTGTGTTGACTGTTGTGTTCAGGACCGTGCTGACACAGGAGGCTTTAATCAGTGTGAAAGGTGTCAGTCTGAGCAGCTACCTCGAGGGTCTCATGGCCAAGACCATCTCTGTCAACGCCGGCAAGGTGAAGCCAACTACTTAAATCTCCTTATCATTATATATATTGTCAGAACAAATTGCCTTCCTGCCACTACACATTATGTTTCTAACTCTGTGTGTCTGTCTCAGGGTCGGGAAGCCATGGAGTGGGTCATCATGCGATTAAACACAGAAATCGAGGAGTTGGCGGCGACTGCTCGTGGTTCTATACGTGCTCCAATGGCAGCTGCTGTCACAGACAAATGATCGCGGCCCCCGCAGCTTTCCCCCCCCGCCATCATGAACCGGTGGACCTCTCGGACAGTTACTCTCTCCTAACCTGCCAACACAGCCTGATAACCACAGCCTCACCCATTGGCCCTACGTGTGTATGTGTGTGCTTGAGTGTGTGTGTGTGTGTGTGTGCGGTCTTCCCTCCTCAGCAGTCTGCGTTGGCGAGTTAGATACTCGCTGCTTTGGGCAATGATGAGGAGAGTTGAGTTGATGACAGTTAAAAAAAGAAACAGGGTTGAGTTGGACTGCACTTGAAGCTCATAGGAATTATTCTTGTAATGTTAAAGCTCTTTAAAAATCACACTGTGCCTCCATGTCATCTCATAAATTTCTCTTCTGTCTTCTTCCCCTTCTTCTTCTCTCTCTCTCTCTCTCTCTCTTTTTATTGTTTCCTTATCCTTGCTAGCAGGTTGAGTACTTGTAACCGCTGACATGAAGTCATTTTTCTAGCTCTTCTGGATGGCTTAGCTTGCTTTCTACAGCAGAACAGACCAAAATATCTCGGTAACAAGAAGCCACCAAAGTAAAACAGTCTAACAACAAAGTTAAAAGTAACACAGGTACTGCTTTCTTGTCTTGTGACGTCAAAACTCCAGGCTTTTATTCCCACTGGCCTGAGTCTGGGTTTCTTTGCCCCATCTGGACGTTGTCAAAGATGTATTTGAGTCGATGCAGCTCAGAGGAAGCAGAGCTGTTGTCTGACAGCCAGATCTGCATTTAGGTTACGTGCCCAGTTTATGGGTGTACTTGCATGGTGCTGTATTATATAGGTTTATTTGTCAAACTGTCAAAGCAGTTTAAAGGAAATGAGTCTTCATTTCGATGCAGATCTGTTGGAGCTGTCAGCATGGTGGACTGGTCCTCAGATGTTCTGGTCTTGTTCTTGCTAAAGGTCTCTACATTTCTTAAAGTCTCTTCTGCCTTTGTTAGTATTTTCTCTTACATTGATGATGTGCTGTATAGTTGTGTGTTAGAGTAAACATATTTGAGTACTTGAATGTCTAACTTATTTTCAGCATGTGTACTTAAATACACTTAAGAAGCGGCAAGTACTGAGCTGTAAAAAAATCGAGTGTATGGGCGCTTATCAAAATGACCGCAATGTTTTTAATGTTTATCGAACGGTTACGTTCAGGATCACTGAGTGTGCCAACATAATATGTGCAGATTCCAATTACTCTACCCATTTAATACCCCAATTCACTTTAACTGTGAACAAACCCACTCTGTATGCTGCGTCCATTCATTTCATACCATCTATAGATACTGTTATTTATAGTATTTGTATTAGTGAACATTGACAAAGGCTGTTGACTTGATTTTAAAAGCTTGTCATATTTGTATGCACTTCCCCTCTTTACCCCATAGCAGACTCTCAGGTGCTACAGAGTTCAGTTTCCCTGCTTCCTCTAAGGACCACACTGAGATGAAGGCGCCATAATAACTTTGTAACTCTTTGTGCGTTCTTGCCTTTTCTCCTCTAGACATTTTAACAAGGACGGTTCTACAAAAGCTAAAATGACAACAAAAGTTATGTTATTATGTCTGTTGATGGCGCTCTACATCAAAAGGTCAGTCGAAGTCCCGCTCTCAGTTACTTCATTAAATCTCCTTTTATCCACAGTAGGTCAGTGTCTTTGTCATGCCTGCTTCTGTTTCAGCTGAGCTTCTTTTGAAAAGCTTTTTCATCACTAACTCCTGTTGAATCAGCCAGTCCTCCAGTGTCATTACTGAAGTGTGATTTGTGAACAGTGGCTGTACATAGGCTTTTATTTATATTTTGGTGGTGTTACATTCCAAGAATGTGAACATGTAACAGAATCTAAAGAAATGTTTCAAAATAAAGAGATGTCATTGTTTCATGAATTTGGTGGTGATGTTTTTTTTTACCCTGAACCCTTGAGGTGTATCGCCCCCTAAAAAAATGCTTTTACCATCTAACTTCACCTGTCCAGTTCTTGCATTAGGTTCAGTTGGTCACATCAGTCTGTTGCCTCGTATCTCGTTGTAGTGTAGTGTCTCGTCTCAGTGTTTTTTTACTTCAATTAAAAATATGCACCACTAAATTGGTTTAGAGATGCAGATACATTGAGAAATTATTTCTTAGTGATCATCAATTTCATTAAAGTTAGTGTCTTTAAATTAGGTCCCCATGCAGGACAACGGTCTGGTGAATCCATCATCCTGCACATTTCTACGGATTTGTGAATATATCGTTTTTACGTTTTAAATGTAGTCTCCTCTGGTACCAGCACTTTCTACGAATGTTTAAGCCTTGAGTCAACACATGATAATGGTTATAATGACAGATCCAATGATCATGTATTTGATGCAACAGTGACATAGAAACAAACTTAGAAAAAATGATTTTATTCTCACCACATCTTTTTTTTGTATATATGAAACAGAATGCACTTAACAAAATATAAAATGCTAAAACATACATAAAAGATGAGGTTTCAGGCTGAAGCATTTATAGAAATCAACTGCAGGCTAAATCATTGTTGATATGTTATGACGGTTGTAAATACAATGCATACATTTGTAGGCATGCTGTGTATCAGGACGGCATTACCTTTTAAACGCAGGTGCTTTATGACGTTAAATATGAACACAAATCCATTTTGTTTACAGGTGCAAAGAATGTGTGCTGAGATGAAGAGCGTCCATGTTTGATGAGGTAAACAGACAGTTTGATGTCAGTTGAAGCTGTCTGTAAACACCTCAGCGTCTGAACACATGGCTATAAATCCCTGTGAGAAATAAAGACAATGGTCAGCCCAACAACTATTTCTGCCCCTAATTCAAAATGTCTTCTCAAAGCCAAACATTAACTTCTACAACAGTGATCCTTTACTAACACTGACCTCTTCCACCGCCAGAACTGTGTTGACCAGCTGAGCGTTCCTCATTCTGGGTAAAACAACGCCTTTGCCCAGTTCCACTGAAACAGATAAGTACATGTAGAAACAAAGACAACGTAGCCACACTTGAATACATTATGTTCAGTATGTTGGATCAATACAGTATGGAATGTGCTTTTTCTCAACTGTAGGACTAAATGCATTGCTTCCGTTGATGTTAAAGATGCAGCACTATTCACGTTTAAATTAATTATAAATATGTAGTCAAAAGCAACTTTATTGTCAATCTTCTGTTTGTATGAAACAGAAAGAGAGATTGAAATGCTGTTTCTCACAATCCAGAGGGATACAATTAAAAATAAATATTATACATACACCTGTACACCCACCTATATATATATATATATATATATATATATATATATATATACATACACACATTCATAATAAAACATATACACATGCACACATAGACATAGGTAAAAGGCACAACATTCAATACAAAATAACAAAGCTTTTATGCTTATTTCCCCAGATAAACTTCACAAAAAGTGAAGAAATAAAAAGGCTTTCACTGCCAAGTTTAAATGTTGTTGAGCAAAGCAAACTTTAAAAGATTACCGTTCAGTTTTGCGAGGCCAGCCATCACTCCCATTTTCACTAAGCTTTCCAATGTATCTGTCTGCAGAGAGAACATGTGATCTGTTACTGTCTGGGTTTAATTCTCCTCAGTGCACACGTAAGTTTGCCTCTAACGTATTATGTGATGTAGTTATGTACCTCAAAGTGTCCCACTTCACTGCCCGCCAGCGTCAGTGTTAAACTGTTTGAAAGAAAGACACAACATGACTTTGCTTTAGTTAACTGCAGGCTGAGGCGTGTGTTTTACGACATGGTGATGCTCACTTCTGCAGTGCCATGGAGCCCTTCAGTCTTCCAGCAGCGACCCACACTTTACCGTCAAATTTTAAGTCCTGAAAGAAAAGGTGCCAGCTGTCAAAACAACCAATATTTGTTTTATTACGATCAATCCGTCTGTTCTTTTCCTTGTTAATCAATTATGACAAAAATCTTGGAACTGCAGATATAATAAATTATCAAAATGGTTCTCCATTTTTGTTCTGTCTTAACTTTTTAATGTATCCACAGTGGGTTAAACGATTCCACATTTCACATTAAAAAGTGACCCTTTGTCCAAGCACCTGCATGTATTTGTTTGCTCAAATCAAGTTATTATTAGATATATAACAATTTTTCTACAAAATATTTCTTATGTGCTTGCAAAATGTTTGTTTGTGGCGTGAATGTAGGCTACTCATCATATCCTTCATACTGAGAGCAGAAGTACTCACAACATTGAGTTTGAACAGAGGGATCTTGGTGGCATTGGGCTCGATGGCAGAAGCCTTCACTATGCCCGCAAGGTTGAGTTTCACAACACCAGGCTGGAAGGAAAACATCGGCACCTCACTGGCATAAACCTGCAGATTCATCAGAAGACCAGGAAACATCTTAGGAAGCTGCAGAGAGAGAGAGAGAGGGAGAGAGGGAGATAATAGAGTACATCTACTAATCAGAATCAGTTTTCTTTACAGACAACTTACAGCGGACCTCTTCTCTGCCGATGGTGTGCATGCGTGTGTGTGCCTGTGTGTGTGTCTCCACTGCTTAAGGTAAGGATCGTTTTCAACCTCTTTGTATGAATATTGAATATGATACTGTAACCTGGGTAACTCCAGTTTTAAGTGAGTAGACGTAGAGCTAATAATAATATATTCTTACATATTCTTAAGAAAATACATAATGTAAGATGTCAACTAAGGATACTCAATAATTCGTCAGTTATATATTTTATTTATTTGTTCTTGTTTGAAATCATGACAGTGAGTGACTGGTCCATGCAATCACTTTCTTCCTAAAAAAAGATTCATGAGGTAAGATGTCAACTAAAGCAACTTCATTATTTGTTATTGTTTGCCTTATTTATAAAAACATAATGACATGATATATTGATTGTTGAAGGTTGTTGTTAAATCCGTCCAATCATTTATCATGAATATGATATACAGTATGATCAAATAACCAATGAGAATTTGCATGATGGTGTTTTCCAGACTTTTAGTGTATCTTTCAATATACATCTTACTAGTAACTTTAAAATACATGTTTTGTACTTAATTAAAAGTCCTCTGTATCAAATATTAGGAAAGCCATGATTATTCTAAGAAACTGCAGTCAAGAGTGGTTTTAAGAAAGAGCTTTAAGGTTCTACATTTCAGACGTAAAACTGCTTTTTGAATATATAAATGTTCTTTTAACAGAGTTGTTCACATACTAAGAGTCACTCAATTTAATGTCACCATGTAAATATAATGCACTGCACAAGCCTTTCAAATATAAATGAATACAACTTCAGATACAATGTGCCTTGTATTTGTTATTTTACTTATTTACTACTTTGAAACCAGATTATTTTGAAGATGGAACTAAGTGTTCAAGCTGTGGTTTCACTAAACGACTAAAGGATTGTTATTCCTTCAATAATAATGATTGAACCACAATGACATCATCATGCAGTCCTGCTCATGGACCGCATTAATAAAACTCTTGAGTGTTCTTTTAACGCTGATTCAGTTACACTTACCTGAGGAACGTAAGGCCCCATTGAGCTGGTGTTGAGGCGTACATGGATGTAAGGAGGTATCTGAGATGATGAAACAACATTTGTTAACAGTCATGTTTTATGTCAAAAATTGGTATATAATGCTTCTTACATTTGAGGTGCACTTACCATGCTGTCAGTAATGAGAAACTGAAGCCGTTTCCCAGAGTAGAGTGCGTATGAGGCGGAGTTCATGGTGAATTCAGACAGGCCCATCGACAGCATGTAGTCGGGCTGCTCAGGCACAGTGAAATTCTGGGCCTCAAAGGGAGGCCATTCATGAGTTTTCATATCGTAGAACTCTCCCTTTAAATAGAACGTTGGAAAAATGACCGATTACGGCTACTGTTTACCATTTTGTTATTTATATTCATACTTTTTGGCACCCAATATAAATGATGTGTTGCTTACCTTAAGACCCAGAATCATACTTGATGCAGTAATGACGGGTACGCCAGTCAGAGGGATGTAGAGTACTAAGTCTTCATCCACTTGAATGGACAAGTCTAATGAGAGTAGAAATCATTTGTTACTGAATAATCTCAATATACATTTAAATTCCTGACTCTTATTTGACAATTGCTTTAAAATAAAGGTCTTATTTGCACTAAGCACCTAGTATCAATCTGTAACAAAAAAAGAGTACATCTATATATTGGGGCAGAGTTTTTAAAAGTCTGAGGCAGCCCCCCCAGGGTTTCAAACTGATTTAAGGATTACATTAAATCATTTCACATATAATTATCCAAATGTATGGTTTGGTTAAAGAGTACGTTCAGATAAATAAAGTAGTTCTCAACTAACACAATACACAATCATTGTACCTTTTCCAGAGCAGAAAGAAATATAAAATATATGTTTTATATTTTTGGTGTTGATCCCAGAGGAAATATTAAAAAACTATTAAAACCTGTTTATTATGAGATAGCCGGCTGTAATACCTTCCATGGCCTGCAGGTGGTACTCCAAGCTCACAATGGATTCCTCCACATCAGGGCAGATCTATAAAGGGAAAAAACAAGGCCAATGTCCTGCCATGCTCACCACCAACATCTTTACAGTGAGAATGATCTGATGACGAAACAGCATTGACAAATCCACCACTGTTCAATGTGATAAAGAAAAACTCTTACTTTGCTCCTTATTTCACCCCTCATCCGCCCCTTGAAATGCTCCACAAAAGGCTGGAAGATCCAACTATTGACAAAAGGAAATGCAGAACTTACATCTCCACATCATGTATCTCCCTTTCCTCTCTCTCTACCTCTGTTCTACTGTACCTCGCTCCACCTTCAAATTGAATGTCCAGCTCTCCAACCTGAGCATCACAGCTGACGCTG